GAGTTTGCTTCCAGTATATGCTCCAACAAACTGTTGCGAACATTGACCACTCCGTTTGAAACACAGCAGGTGGAAAACGCTTCACTTCCGGCACCACAAGCTGGTACCGGTTTCCACGTGTGTCGCAAAGCGTTCGCAAATGGAGTAGTGACTTAAGCATGAGGAACTCGTCTAGATATGGAATGCCGTAATTCATGGTGAAGTCGACTCGCAACCGACGATAGTTTAAGTTGTCGAATCCTAGTTTCTCGCATCGGTTTTCGTACGGTAATCCTTGTAAACTTGGAATGAGTCTGGTAGTGACGTTTTGAACGTGATTATTTTGGTGCTGTCTGTTGAGAAGGGGAGTGCCTGAGAAGAGCGCCAACATTCTTCGCGTCATCTACTCTCGGGTCGAGTGCGGATGTGCGGCTTATTTTCGCCGCACTTTACCATAGTGGTGTGAGACAGTGCTGCTCCGCACCAATTTCACTGGAGAGCTCTCTGGAGTACTGCAGACCCAACAACATTGGACTGCTTCCGGGGGATCGACTTCGCGATTTGAAGTATGCCAACGACATCGCCGTAATTTGCGATTCTTCACGAGCCGCCCAAAATGTGCTGTGCATGTTGGCGGTGTCTGCCTCTCAGTTTAGAATGGCCTTCACCCCTTCGAGATGTAAGGTCTTCGTACAGGGCTGGCTAGGATCTGCTTCCGCTCTTACCGTTTCAGCTCAATTTCTGGAAGTGGTAAACTAGTTAGTTTTCCTCGGAATCTGCATCAGCCCTAACAGTTTAACGGATAAGGTCCCCCTGCGTCTCCAAGGTCCGGGTTGCGTTTGGTAATCTCTGGAGTCGTCGCGACCTGAGTCTCTCTTCTAAGGGCCTAGTCTACAATGCCACGAAAAGAGCGGTCCTGCTCTAAGGTTGCGCGACTTGGTTTTTTCGCGCAAGGGACGCTCAGAGGCTGTCTGTCTTTGATCACCGCTGTCTTTGAAGCATTACTTGTGTACGGTTGCAACACCACAGTAGTAATGAGGAGTGTCGCCGATGGATTTTCAAATCGGACAGACTTTGCCGGCCGCTGAGCTGTATACTTTCACTGTATAGGCTTCAGTGGCTTTGGTACACAATTCGCATGCCTACTGACCGTTTGCGTCACCATGCACTATGCGCGCACTGAAGTCGACTGCAAGCGACGACTACGTGACCAGCGTAAGAATTTGGCCAACAGTATGAAGGCATTGATTTCGCATTTGGCCACGGTCAGAGGCTCTCGACTCCCCCGTTGGGGGCGCAAGGACTATGAACACACTTGGCTGGAAACCGTGAGCAATGACGAACATGTGAGACTATCCCCATGACTCCAGTTCTACACTTTTTACCCCCTCTGTTTCCTTATTATTGTTGTATTATATTTGAACCATACGTTATGGCACTCTGCCAATTGTACTGTTGGTCGTGTTCGATATATTAAATATATACACTCGAGTGATTGTACTGTGGGCGGGCAAGCCATACTCCCGCTTTGTTTTTATAATGGAAGAGAAGAAGCGAGTGGCTATCCTCTCAGACCAAGTGCAGAAGGTACGTTTATGCGCCCAAAACCTGCCCAGTCCATTACGATAAAGCCTTCTCGTGTTGTCTGCAGCCTTCACACCGCAGGGCCAGAGTACACATAGGTCCTTCACAGAAGGTGTGGGATGTATCGATTGTCCCTCGAACTTGTAGGTCCGACCCTTCTCCACGTTTATGAATTTAGACTTGACTGGGTTAGTCGGGATACGGGCTTCGTCAAACCACACGTAGAAGCAGTTTAAGTCTTGCTGAATTAGGCCGCACTCGTCGGTGGTGCTAATCACTTCCACATCTTGACGTCGTCTGCAAACAGGGCACAGGGCGATCCGAGAAGCTGCAGCAAATCATTGGCGTGGATTAAGAACGGAGCGAGACCCATCACCGTGACTTGGGGTACGTCGCTAGTAGAGAGATAGCAGTCAGCTACTTCGTAGTGGGCTTGTACCCTCCACTTATGTCCAACAATAATGTCCTAGAACCACTGGTTCAGTGATCCACCAGCACCGCACAGTCTCATTTTGCGGAAGAGGCTCATGGTTGTCCTATTGAAGCGCTACTGAAATCCATGTAGATTACGTCTACAGAGTTTCCTTGGTTCACTGTCTGCAACCATTGATGCCTCTTCACCATCAGGTAAGTAATGCATGAGCGGCCTAGCGTAAAACCCTGCTGTGCGGACGTCAGTAGGTCTTTTGATTGGAGTGGCTGTAGTTGACCTTTCCTCATAATCTCGGCAACCTTGACCAAGATATGTGCCAGACATATTGGCCTGTAGTTGTCCACTTTGCTGGGATCAACGCCTTTCGGAATCGGCTTCACTATCGAGCATTTCCAGTCAACCGGTAATAAACCCCTATTCAGTAACCTGTTGAACAAGTCAGTCACGCTAGGGGAGATGACGGCCGATATAGTCTTGAGAATCAGTTCACTTGAATAATCAATGGGTGTAGTCCGTCATGCCTAACAGGTTTGGTGACGTTAAGGTTGGTGAGTAGTTGATGCACATCTTCCGCACCACAATCCAGACTGTCGAGTTCGGTAAGCGCGGTACACCCCGAACTCGGTACAGACACATGGTCTTTCGGAAGCGAAGTGTGTCGCCAACGCGGACACACGCTTACTGCTGTCGAGGCCCACTAGCGCTGCCAACTTCAGGCCCCACTTCTAGTAAGCAAAGATTCTCTTCGGAGCGCCCTTTGCTGCGGTTGCGAGCTGCTGTTCGAAATACCGCCGCTTGTTCGTTTTTGCATTGTCACATTTGTTAATCGTTTGAAGAGCCAGAGATGAAGAATTTATCCCGTAGTCTGCGCCGTCGGCGCGTCATTCTACCATACTCCTTGTCGAACTAATGTGGCCTATTTTGTCTAACTTCAGTGGCACAAACGGAAAACACAGCAATGCCGCTCCCTCAACGGGCATGAGGTAGACGTGACCTAGCCGGCATAATCGGTTAACTTGATTAAACACTGGAGCGACGCAACTGAAGGCATCTTGCCAAAATCCAGTTATCGAACCTCAGCATCGCTCAACCGTTGTTCTCAACAGATGTAGGGTCCTCAGACAGGAATTCTATATTCCACTCTCTTCTCTCACTCGAATACTCGGGTGATATGAATGATCACATTAGTCTCCCCTCGGAATCAGACCCCGTTGTTATTAGTGACGTACGCAAGACGGTAGATGAGCAAGTGAACAGGCGAATAGAGGACCCCAACGAAGCTGTGAACGGGAACAACACAGAACCCACACTCACAGGAGCAACAGATTGCTTCAACTGTGCCCCGAACACAATGTCCACATCAGCGCACAGCCTCACAACCGCAAGCCTTTGCAACAAATTTCTTAACTTCCATCGAATGACAGGTTTCTCAACTTGATCACATCGTCATCGTCCGCAGACGTCTTACACTAGTCAAAAACTGTCGACATTTCCGAAGCAACTGTCTGAATTTGTACAGCACTCTTTCTTCCAACTCTAAAGGCGCCATTTCGTCAACTGAGTTTGCATGCTGCAAATTGTCCAGTTTCCGTTGCTTACGGAGACGGATAGATGTTAGGTTACTGGTTGAATGAAAGACTTACAACACTGAAGTGGGACCAATCCAACTGTCCGGATAAGAGACATAACCGCTGCACTCTAGAAGCGCTATGCCTTGCCACTGATGTCATGAGTATAGTTTATACCTGGTGTCAGCTCCAAGTAAGTAATATTAATGTTCTTCCTCTGTTTGGCAGTAAACCTGATGATATCGCATTAGGGTGTTTGTTAGATGCGGTCCTCCAACTCTGGCTAAGCAGTGTACTCCGCGCCTGCTGGACGCCGGCCTCGTTTTGTATTGTTTACCGATGTTGTACCTAGTTGAGTGATAATGAGAGGGGACCAGCCATCGGCGTAGCAAAGGGAATTTTGAAGTAGGTTCATGTGCAACTGATGTCTTCATCGATCGTGTCTTCGGAATCAAACACATCAGTGGTTGACTAGATATCCTATCTCATATGGCGCAGTCACAGAGCAAGCGATAAACGCATCTTTTCGTTTGTTTCTTTGACCGTTGCATCTGACAACTTTACTATTGCTTATTCGTACTTTTGTTACTATATTTCCTGTTATCATTATTACTATTGCGCACGAAGTGTGAACCAAGATGACTTAGTTCACCTCTCCTCAGTGCACATGTGAGAGTTGATCACTGAACTTTGGGAGATAAACGGTGTTAACGGACGCATTCAAACCGCTTCTGGACCAGATGAACTGATTACCCCTACTGACACACGTACCCTTACTCATTGGTCAGTGTGAATGGCCTAATCCGTACCGCTCTTTTTACTGATGAGCTGTTGTTTGGCCTCACTATTCCTTCTCATGTGAGGCAACTCATAAAGCCAAGTGTCAGCCAGTCGCCTCAAGGCAAATACTGGGACTTACTAAACGTAATGCGTTAATCAAATCTGTGGATCCATGTATAGGTCTATACTAATTTGTCCAAATTTCGGCACGCTTCGCGGCACAGTGACTACTCTAAGTACTATGTGTGACTGGAGTTAGGTTGAGTCGGTTTAACCTAGTCACGCACACATGCAGTGCCGAAGAGGTACATTCATCATATACATCCTCGCATCCTTTTATCCTTGATATCGTCTCGGATTTTGTCACACGAGCCGAGATTTACAGAGGATACTTTTGATCGCTCAACCTGTTATGTTCGCGGATGTACGGATTTGTTGTGCGTCCCCATTGCTCTTTAAGACCATAAGTTTCTTGTTGTTCATCTTGAAGTGTCACTATGAACATACCTAACTAACAGCCTTCACTTGCTCATCCTCTTTCGATGAGAACTTCTTGTTCTACGATTATTCATGATCTTGCTTTCTGTCATGCCCCCAACCATCCCACACCATTTTTCGTGGTTGTCTGTGTCTACAAAGTATCCCCTGTTGAACAGGTACATGCCAATACATGGCTCCCGAATTGATCAAAAACCAGCGGGGTTACGACTTTCCCATCGATATTTGGAGCTTCGGCTGTACCGTCGTCCAAATGCTCACTGGTTTTCCCCCATTCAAGGAGGTGGGTTTCCTACGTTTACTGTGCGCGTTTTCATAGATTATGCGCCTCTCACCGAAAATATATATAATGTTAGTGAACGTTTTGATAGCCAAGGCGCATGGTGCTGGTAGGCGTTCATCATCAATTTTCGTTGTTCGCCCTATTCAATTTCTTTCAGTTATAGCCCATTACTATTTTGCGTTTCATCACCATCTACTCCGTATGTTACCTGCACATTTGGATATGCCAATAACTATGTTACTTAAATCCAACAAACCCAGGTGCACTTATCCCAACCGTTAGCACACCACGAGAGCATTTCACTTTCCTTAGACTATTCTAACGATTATCGGCAGAACTACTCCGATTCTGATGAGTGCCAGTTGGTAGCGCATACATTTTCTGTTACTCATAACGTGAGTTAGCCGTCTCGCTCCTTCAATATGAGCGAATCTGCTTTATTATCCTTTTGAGCTGGGTAGTCTTACTGCCTCGCCCAGTTTCCATCTAGCTTACTAGCTATTGTTTTGAATCCGTGTCCTATGGTGTCTGGTGGCAGTTACCTTGTGACACCTCCACATTGTTGGGAGCTTGGCAGGTTTTACCGGACTTGCGACAGCACCAAAAGTATTCAGTCACCAACGAGTGCCATCCTTGTTTCTTCTTTTCAGTATGAAAATCCAATGGCGGCCGTTTTTCGGGTCGGTCGGGACGCCGAGCATCCCGCAATCCCAGATTCCGTTTCACCAATTTGTCGGGCTTTCGTACTTCGCACCTTCGTGCCAACTCCGTCTGAACGGGCCACCGCTGCTGAACTACTGGATGATCCATTCATAGAGCTGTAAGTCTGTCAACTGTTCACCTGGTCTTTTCTAGATTCTAATATAGTAGGCATGTTCAAGTTTCATTTGTAGCCCTTTGCCACACTGCTTGGGCTTATTAATCCTGATTTTGGAACGCGGATGGTTCGCTTCTACGGATTGCTTATGATTATATGCTAATTGACTTCGAGGTCGCTTGCACTTTCGCTGTTGGTTACTTTTGTTTCAAACCCCTAACACGTTTCAGACCGTATGCTTGACATTTATGACGCTCACCTAGATTTGTGCTCTAACTGCTTGTTTGGTACTCTGTTTTCTTCTCCTTTTAGTCCATGCTAAATGCCAATGTTATCACCTGTGGAATTATGTCATCCCTGTTTGTACTTGTTCTGTTCAATCACATTTGTTTCTCCACGTGTTTCTCTACAGTTACAATCCGAAACGAAAACACGGGCGTCCCGCAGGTACGCGTTTTTGAGGGTGCTTATTCATTATTCCTGGACATCTTGATATTTTGCTCACCCCAACATGCATAAATACAGTCATCCTCGTTTCTGTCTGTATGTATTACCTATTTTCATTGCAGTTTAATATTTTCTTTTTCTCTTAACAATCGACAACATGTCACAATTTGTGTGTCAAATTCTCACATCTTGTCTTTACGGCCCGTCGTCTGATATTTCACTCGAGTATCTTTCAGGTCTTTTGCCGTCTCAGTCGGATGAATAAGTCTTGATACCTTTACTAAGGACGACGCGGAACCATTCGATTTCTAGCCTTTGTTTACCTCGGCTATTATCGAAAATACCTGTAGCTTGGTGTGTGGATGAGAGGGTTGTCTTGTTCTCCAAGCTGGCATTTCAGTTACAGACGTTTCCCTTCCAAGCTAGGCAACACCATCAGGGCTACTTTCAAGCTCTGATTTGCAGATATTCGTGAGACACTGCCAGATTTATGAATTCGTTTGGATAACCTCACCTTTAGAACCAGGCCGCTAAGCGGAAATAAAGCAGATAAATTTTAGGGAAGTATACAGCACATCTCATACTTCGTCCAGTGGGAGCTAAGGGCATGCTCCATTTATCTTGTATGTATGCCCATTCTCACTCTGCTAGTTTTCTCCTGATTCTCAGTCCACATTTCTATTTGAGGTCTGTTTGACGCTCTATCCATAATTGGCCTTCGCGGGGTTAGTGGCTTTGGGGACTCTGTGTGTTAGCCGGTAATATTCTTTGCCATCTTATCTTTACTTCGCGTGACACATTGTGTCTTGCTTCTGCACACTATCAACTAAGTTTGGCTCGCTGCAGGAGTTTACACGGCCCATCTTCGTGTGCATATATTATTGCTCCTGCGAAACACTCAGCTCTCAGACGCCTGCACTACGTCTGCAATTTTCTTCTTTTGACGTATTTTTGACTACCGTGTCACCCTCGGTTTGTATTCTCATTTGTTTAACCCCTTTCGGCACATTTTGCATGTCCTGGGTGCCACCTTCACACCCAGCTTCATGCAATAGATGCAGCATTGATCTGTTTGCTTAAACATTGACCTAGTTTATCGGCTCCGTGGCAGATGGACATATGGTTACGATCGTCCGATAAGCACCCGAAGGGACACTGCGCAAGAACTCGGTGCACCTCTAATGTTTTAACATCAATATTCAGATGCCTTGTGGGGAAACATTTGAGCACGAAGGTTAGCAGATCATATGCGGCCGCTTTCTGTTCTTTCAGTCCGGATATCTTGGGGGCGTTGTAAGGATTCCTGTCCGCCCGGTGAGCACCCACATTTCTCAATCGTCAGGCCACCCCTTTACTTTTCGCCTCATTCAATCCCCCGAATTCCCAGAGCACGCAGTGAATGATTTTGTCAGCCTACTGGTGACATCATTGGTGCTGCTTGTGAATACAAACTTTCGCTTGATTCTCTCATTAGCTGCATTTGACACTGCTGTGAATTCCGTTTGATTGAATATTTATCCCTTTCGTCATCTGTTTCCCCTTTTCTTAAACCCGGTGAAGCCCCCTATTACGAATCACATGCAATTGTCCATTCATCATCAGTGTTTTATCCCCTGGATCCTACTTTCTTGGCCATTTACATCTTCATGGTCATCAGTAACGACGGTACTTCGTTGTCATGCAGCTGCAATGATCCCACTAATGTGGTATAAGATGGTGGGAGAAACATTTTATTAGATCTTAACGTCAACACTGAATCACCAGAAACAGCTGGCTGGTGTGTGAACATGAAGCGACATCGGCAAGATGGATTCCTTGTACTCACACTGTCCCATATCTGTATTAACGCCTCACGCCACCGATAACGCCACCGTACTTCTACGACTAGGTATATCAGGTGCATACACTCCCAGACGGTAGGATGAATACATATGAACAGGGTACGATGCAATCAATTCCTGGGCGGACATTACCGTTCACCTTCCCTGGTGCGACAGGGAATACTGACCAATAAATGCGAATGCGTGTTTTTCAGCAACCACACATTGTGCTATCCAACCGGGAATGGGTATTATTTGACGGTTTCATGTTGGTTGAGGACGTTACACATACACTCTTTGATAATGTGATCTGATCAGGAGAATATTTCAAACACGCCATTGCTTCCACTTGTGTACCACGTCATGTGTGATATCGAGCCCAGCACAGTCTCGCTTGTCAGGTCGCAAGCTTCGTCTTACCTCGCACCTAATTACCTATTTGACTGAACTGAGCCTGACATCGACATATATTTCCGTCGGGCTCACTGACCATTCGAACTGCCACTGAGTTGCGCTAGCAGCTAATTGACGTAGTACTTATCTTGTCCAGTGGAGACCGGTGTTCTCATAGTTATGAAAGGAAAGCTGAATACACAAGTCATCTGGGTAGGCTTGTCTGTCCTTGGACTAAACCACGCTTTCGGTTGCCGCTCGTGCGAATTGTTGCTGCGTTCCCCGACAAAGCCTGATTAAAGGTTCCATCACACATCACATGATCATGATCAAAGCATGTGTTCCGAGACATCCGACAATCAAATTTTGAACCTCATCACCTATGAACAATGAGGATGTGACTAATTCGAGTCCATCACCGGCCAGCGTCCAAAGAAACATCCGTTAACACATCGGTGTACATCATGTCCACAGGTAGAAGACGCCGATCGTCAGCGCACCGTTGCAACAAACCTTCGTTGTTGTTCGTGCGTTCGGTGTTGAGCACCAACTTTCCGTTTATCTGTGACTCTAAAGAACCTAGGCGACATACTCTCACCTCTTTTCTGCCGGTCACTGTTTGTCTGTGTTGATTTTACCACGTGGTGCTTTACCAAAGCCATGTTAATAGTCAATTTTGAGGGCATCAAGACCCCAGTCCGCTTTATCCTTCATAGATATCAGGAGCAGATAGCATTTTTTTCTCAGCTCTGTGCGATTGCTTTGGCTATCGTTGTCAAACGAGCTAACTAACTACTGTTCACATGCATCCAGTCACCCTTGGAGAATTCAGCACCTTACCTGTGGTTGCAGCGTCCTCGTCGCTTGATGCGTATAAGCATCATTGGAAGGATGGGTAGGGTATAGTTAGGCCCTTAACTTTGCTTCTCAGCGCAAACGTACGTCATCATCATAGATATTCGGTGTGCGTGCAAGTATAGGCCGTTGACGTATCTTTCTTGTAACACCAACATGACAGCCAATTCATATGGCTTAATGCAGTGCTTATGGTATCGGAAGCTTTTTCGCCATCGTGTTGACAAGAGATAAATGACAATTTCGGCAGAGTCGCGTATCCTTCACGTTAGTTATGGAGATTTGGAATGGTTTGGTAGACGTGTGGAAAAGTAAGAAGTTAGGCATCTGCAGCAGTCTCTTTCACTTACCCGTTCATCTACAAACAACAGATTAGTCGATTTTATTGCGCAGCGGTCAATGCAGGATAGTTCTAAAATGTTATGAGCTAGACATGGGCTCCTAAACAAGAGAATGACTGGAGCCTCCACCATAGCCGTCGTCTTGAAAACCTGATTTCGGGACGGTGCATCGTTGGCAGCCATCCATTCAATGTGTCCTTTGCGAAGTGTATCCCTCATCGATTGAGGGACCTGGTTGGTCTGGTCTCTATTCACTGACGAGTCGGATAGAAGGGGCTCTCAGGATGTTCGGAAGCTTCACCCGGCATGGTTCACCAGTACGTAGAAATGCGTAAACCATTGAGCAACTTTGGTTTACTGTCTCATGACAACATTGGCCTTTGGCGGTTTTCTGTGCCTTCACTCGTACTCCGCGTATTACATAAGGCATGTTACGGTTGCCCACATGAAAGCTTAATGATCTATTGTTCCACTTTCGAAACATATTATCCCTTACTCTGTCTTTTGAAATGTTCTGCGGTGCACCACTAGTTATACCGTCGCAACGAGACTGGGCCTTAACGTTGTGCGACGGTTTGCACATCTCGTCGATCCATTGAGTTATACTGGGTGGGTCGCCTTGCCCTCCAGGTTGGGAGTTTGAAATGAGACAGCGTCCAGTGCTGTAAAACCGAATCGTTACCATACACGCTACCTTGCGGACTGGCTTTTGAGTAAAAGGTTTTGGTTGAGGAACCTACTCGTTCTTTCTATATCTGGGCGCCTTGGCGGTATCTCAGCCCATGTAAAACCATGACTGTTTCTTCTTACTTTCCTCCTAACTCACCTTATTAGCCTTCTATAATTATCAGCTTAATTGACAACAGCCGCAATACCAGTGCAGTTCTATCATCTGCACCTATATTCCCGCACTACCCACTGGATGCCAATAGCCAGCATCTCCATCTAAGGTCACACCGTCCCTTTCCCCTGGCGGCGTTCAATGTTCACACACAATAGGCTGCACTCGCGCGCACGTTGGACACACTGGTTATTGATGTGTGTTGTGTGTCCGATGTTAGGATCAGTGACTTTCACGGGGTTGTTGATTTAACTGCGCCAGATTTGTCCTCTCACTATTAGCTGCACCCATCCGGAGACGCTGATGTGACAACAACTGCTCAGGCTGGAGTGGTCATTATTCTCAGCTCTAAGGCTGAGTCCTCGTTGGTTGATTGGATCCCCGTGAACAGCCGTTTGTCTGCAGCTCGTTTAACGACATCAGCTAAGATTGCTTCACGAAGTAGCACTAGGCACAGCTTGTTCGTGGTTTCTGCTTATGCTCCTACCGTCAGCAGTTCTGATGCTGTCAAGAACACTTTCTACCACGAACTGAACACACTGCTTCGCAGTGTTACAAATTCCGATATTGCTGTTGTCACAGGGGATATGAATGTGCAAGTAGGTTATCTGGGCTCTTCAATAGCTCAGCTGGGTGGTAACTGTGGGCTTCACTCCGACCGTACGAACAAAGGTGAGCGCTTGTTGCAGCTCTTCGCGTAGCACCGGATGTTTGTTAGTAGCGCTGCTTTTAGACACAGTGGGCGTCGAAGTGCCACTTGCTGTCCACCTATAGCTGGCCAGCGATGGACCCAAATAGATCACCTTGCCCTAACTTACAGGTGGCCTTGTTCCGTCCTACCTTGTCGCTTATTCTGGAATACCTGCGTCAACTCTGATCCTGCTTTGATACTACGTTGTTTTTTCATTAAATTTACCAAGCGACGTACCAAGCCTCTCTTTCGATTGGCAACGGAGAAGTTTTCTCGGTCCTCCGTCAAGCAAACCTACACGGCAGTATGAAAGAATGGCAGTCGCACTGACTGTCCTAACCATAGGGGGTATTAGCCCAACGTCATTTGTGACAAAAGTACTGGCTTCAGTACATGTTCGTCTCTTCACTGAGGAGCTGGAATCCTTTATTACGGAAGAGTATGCAGCTTTCTTCCCAGGACGGGACTGTATAGGCATTATATTCACACTTCGGCAGACGCTAGAGCAGCGCCACACTTACCACAGCCTGACAATAGCTGTGTTCCTCGACCCCAAGATTGTGTTTGATTCAGTCGATCGGTCCATTTTGTTCGAAATATTTTTTCGCAAAAGTGTTCCCATAAAATATGGGAACATTTATGTGCCCTGTACTCGTACATCACAGGCCGCGTCAGCGTCTACAGTGACCTGTTGAATGCCTTTCCGATTCCAATTGGCATTCCTTAGGGTTGTCCGATTTCCCCATTTGTTCAACTTCGTCATGAACTCCGTTATCATGCTGCATCCGTTAAAGTGCTACCTGGTGAAAGGCTAGTTGATCTTGGTTATGCGGGCGATATCATTTGCTGTTTAACAATGTCGGAGCGACGCAGTCAACCCTGAGTAGCCTCTTTAGAGTGGTCCCATTATTTGGTATGCGCTTCGCACCTTCCAAGTGCAGTGTTGTTGCAGTACCACCAGGCACTTAATGATTTCTTGACTCTAGCTATCGAGGAATTCGAGGTAGTTGATCATTTCACTTTCCTTGGCAGCAGCATCAGCAACAATGGGCGCATAAGCACTGACGTCATTACACGTATTGTAAAAGCTAGAACTGCCTTCTTAAATTTTTGGCGTTGGTGGGGGGGGGGTTCCCTTGGTGCAAAAGGCCGTGTTTACAGGGTCACAGAGAGCGAGACTTAGACACTTCGCTCTGACGGCCTGCGACACCTTCAAGTTTTTGATCATCGTTGTCTTCGAAGCATTGCTCGTGTCAGATAGCACCAGCGTGTTCGCACTGCTGATATGCGTAGGCGAGCGCGAGGCATTGATAACCAGGCTAGTTCCTTAGAACATCAGGTAGCACTGAATATGCTACGTTGGTTTCGACACGTACTACGTGTGCCCGCTTACCGAGGAGAGCCTTGTTTTGTTTGCGAGATGTAGGGTGGCGCAAAGCCCGAGGTGGGCAAAATTTGACTTGGCACCGAGAAATGAAGTCACTAACGACCAAACTCGGTGCCTTCCTCCCGTCTCGGCTTCCTGATTGAAATCCCCGTGACTTGTCTTGTGCTTAGCTTGTGACTTCGTAGGACATGGATTGCGGCTAACACCAGTGGCGTGTTTGCTACCGTCTCCTTGTCGGACTACCTGTTTAGAGTGTGTTTGGTACTGGGTTATCTGCGGGGTAACGGCTGACTATGACGCGGGACAATGAAAGCCGCAAGAAAGCTGTCTGGCTGATGCTGGCTTTTATTTGCTCGATAGCCAGCTGTTTGTGACGGTATGTTGTTGATACAAGGTGATGGCGCCTTACCCTTAACGATTGTCTAGGGCTTTAAAGTTTTACACTAGGTCAGTTTTCTCTGTTAATATTTTTTGTTCCGTAGGTCGTTATGGTTGTGTAGCAGCGAATCATCAGTTCAAGTGACTGATGTATTGCTGTTGATGAGTCATACTTTGGCGCTTTCCTATCCTTCACCATCCTACTTCTGTAGCCTAGTTTCTTGGGCTCACTCAGGTTACCTTCACGGTGACCCTTTCAACGTGTGTTGCACTTTTCCTTTGCTCCACAAGCAATGCACGCTGTCCCTCTCTACTTTTATTTCATACTATTATCGATCCATTCTGGCACCACAGTTTTCAACAAGAGATTTTTGTTTACCTGATCCCCGATTTCATCGATTACTGCTACTCTCAGCCATACAATAAATGTGCTATCGAATCAGCCAGGCCGCCGGATAGGTGAGATTTGACGTATGCTCCTGTTGCTTACTCGGGCATGTTGTGCTACGCACACATTTACTCCTGTCTACATCATCACTTGCTGAGAATCACCACGCATAATTGTGCCATCTTTTCCGTGGAGTGTGACCCCGGGTGCTCTGAGAATTCTAGTCAAAACTTAAATCCCCTTTTCGACTTCATAGGTTTACCACTCGTGATACCAGTATCCTGTTCTAATTGTATTTTCCTGGTCGATAGCCCTATCTTTAGTTCCTCGAGCTTACTTCATCTGTCGCGTTCGGCACTTGTTTTCCTTTTTTTCTCACTTTTGTTCTGATATTCTTGCCAACAGTCGTCGTCATTGGGTTCATTTACCTGAAATTCTGCTCCACTGCAATCTCTGACTGGAGCCCCGCATCTTATCCGTGTTGTGCCTGGCTGAATCTGTTAGACGGAGAAACGCCCTTTCACAGCGTTGCTTTCCACCACTAATAGCGCCTATCCGTTTAAACGTTATGGGAGCCGCTGAACTTATTCATTTGATGCACATCCAGATGGACACACGAGCTGTGTTGTTGGCGTCACTCGATCACTCAACAAAACCGTTACTTCTCTCGGTCTGTTCAGGTTTCGTCGCATTCGCTTTATGTAATGTGTATGCTTGATTTTTTGTCCATTCCGTGGCGGAGCTGTAGATTATCGGGCGCCTCCCCAGGTTGCGGATCGGGTAATACTTTCCTTGTAACTGCGAATACGTCTCATCTGCTTTGCAGGCAAGATGAATAAGCAGTCGCGGACAATCAGCGGCAGCGTCTCAGAGTGTGAGGAGTTCTGAGCTAATCACCTGGTTCTTCATTAAATTCCACAAATGCTGGTACGACGCTGTGTCAGAGCCAACGTGACCGGCTATAGGGTCACTGATCACTCACTCCTGTAACTGGGGGTGTGTATCTAACGGAGGGCGGTTGAACAACCTTTGCTGGCCACCGGCTTCTCTGTGGACTGTCTCCAAACATAAAGAAGGCGAAGGAGTCAGCTGGCTGTCAACGGGCTTCGTGAATCGTCCCGCTACCTTGCAAATCAGGTCTTTAAGACCAAAGGCTCGGGGTGGGCCCCTTAAGTCAACCCTCTTCCTCGGTCTAGGCAACCTGGAAGCTCTCTACCCACACAGCACATGGGACTTTGCATCCCTTTCTCTGACTCTCTCTTTTTCCTTTTTATTACTCATGTGTTGTGGCACTCTGCCAAAGGTTTATTGGGTAAGTGTGCAATAAAATATATATTCTTGTCCCTCATGGAGTGAGGCTAGCTGCGTTTATTTGTCAGGCAAGGCTTAGCAATACAAAAAGCATGCACCGGTTTGGCTTTGGCTAGAATCCCATCCACAGTTTCCGCTGTCCCTGTTGTTTGATGACCCACTACATTTTGAACATTTCACTGCAGGGTTTTGCGAGAATTGTTATCTTGCTTGGCGTTGGTTGTAAGTTGATCTTCAGAGATATATGTTTCCACTTCTCATACATTTGACGTTCTCTTCCTACCGCTTCAGCCTCATATGGCCACACACCGTCACAACGCCCTCCGCTAAACCACGATTTTGGCGGGTCCTTCCAACGGTAAGTCTGCAAACATTTTTTACCCCATCCCCGCCCTACTTCGCATGCGTCATACCTACTCACAATAAATATTAAGGACTGAACTCCCAAATGCTGTCCATCCTAGCAACCGCCATGAGAGTTGGTTAACTGGCTTTTTGCTCACACATTGAGATAAATTCTGTTCGCGTTTAGGTTGCGTTTTTATCAAACGCTATGTGTCTCCCTTCTCAGTCATCTCGGATTTCTCAAATGCTAGCTTTAGCGGCTGCTCGGAACAGATCGGTTACCAATAGATCATACTGGATTTATTTACCATTATCACTTTAGACTACGCGTTTTTCAAACCAAATTGGACCTTTTGCTAACTAAACTGTATGTTTTACTGACGAAACTGGTAATTTTCCAAATAAAACTGCGCTGTTAGTTTTTTGCGTGGAAAATTATCATTATATTAGCAAGGAAGAAAATAACAACGTTGGAGAAAACCAATTAATGAGGCTGTCCCGCTGCTGCCTTTCTCAACTTTATCATCATATTGAAGACGGAACTCGTACCGTCCTACTGTGTTAACATTCTGATTTGTATGACCGCACAGCCTTTCTACTTTTGGCGGAATATTCACCACTATCATTTGAATCACATGTATTGCAAGGCGACCAAACGATGTTCAGATCACATTGCGATCAGTAAACAGTCGGCGCTAGTGTAAGCCATTCTCTTGTTCTTGAGTGTCGTCTGCCTCGATCAAAGCGGTGACCTAATCAAATAAATGTTTTATTCTCAGCAGTGCAAGGCACACCTGCATAGGCATGATCATGATAATAGAAACACGTATAGTCGGTAATTGTACAAAAATGTCGTAAGTTAACCAATAACATGCTGGAGGTGTGTGCATGTATATGTGTAGGTGTAGGTGTTAGTGAATTTGTTAATGTGACTGTACTTGTGATGTTTTTGGCTATGTTCGTCATCGTATGAAGCGATCAAAGGAACTCTTCGAATTGGATGACGTTCTTGAAGTGGAAAATATCCCCTGTCTTCCCATCAGTATTTTTGTAGTGTGAAACCTGTATACCAGCGCGACCATTGGTAAGTCTGACACTCGAGGGCCGGTACAACTTGAGAGGAGACACATTGTTAACTTCATCTTGTCCACACTCACAGGCCGTATGGTGACGCTAATTTTGTTAATGAATAAGCACTGCGTATTTCAACCAAAATGGGATCTGCACTAGTGCAGTTCTCCACATTCATTGAAGTGTTCTTGTCACATGACGCTCCAGAGCGGTGATGGATGGTGCATGGCTGATCATGGACAACGCTAGTATTCACATGCCGGATGATCGAATGAGCACCCTTGGTTCGTCCTATCAGCTGAAGTTTCTATCGGCTTATTCCTTCCTATATCCTAAACCCAGTAGAAAACGTGTTTTCAAAAAAGTGTTGTAGGTACGCATGATGACCAGACGCAAGACACGGTAATGTAAGGGACCTTGAGAGTAGCAACATAGCAGGGTTACACGAATTGCGTACTCAGTGTGATGATAAAATCAACATCGCTGTAGCGGGATAGCCTCTCACTTACCGACTTTTTCAACGTTTTTATTACCTTCCTTTGCTGATAATTTCCTACTGTTTTACACAAAGGATTGTTTGCGTGCATTTTGATTTGAAGAAGTTCACTATAGATTGAATAAAGTCCCGCATAGGGTAAAACGAATATATATATATATATGGCAAACGTTAATTATTCATCTTTCAAAATCTCTCGACATGTATTTAGGTTGTTTTTCCTCTCTATCACGACCCTTATTTCCTGGTTATTAGCGCCTGATGCGCTTGTCAACTTAAACTCACAATGCAGTACAGTTTCGCTATCCCAGCTCATCAATCGGCCAAGTTGCTAATGTGTCGTTGCTAGGTAACAGACAACTGTTTTTAACTACTTTCTCACGGCTCACGAATCGCTGTTTGAATTTTTCGATTCTCTCAATATATAAACCGATTTACTAACCTGTCTCCCCCCCTACCAACCGGCTTTGCTCTCTGACTGTTGAGATTTTATTTGTTCTTTCCTTTTTCCGCGTCTCTCGGACGCAGTACATTTCACTCACCGTCCCGTTTTGCAAATGCAAAACTGAGCGATTCTGGACTTTCCCTGTGCGCAGCGTGACCTAGAATTGTTACTAAAATTTTCGTAAACCAACTCTACTCTCTTTACCAAACTCAGTTTTGTGAGATTATTAATTCTCTTGCGGTACAATACCTTTTGGGACTGTCTAGTTTAGTACCCGCTACATCGTTGTTTCATCGAAGTCATGTATTGCGTTTAACCCGTCACTTGTCCGCTTTCTCCATTTAGGTTTCAGTGACCGACCAACTGACAGCTGCGAATTTCTAAGTGCCTATGGTGTGAGATGTGCCCCATGCTGAGGCTGATGTTGCATCCTTGATGCTTCTTCACCGCAGTTGGGCTAAACCAACTTACACTTAAACTAGGTCTTTTTAAGCTGGATTAATTTCATTCCGCTTTATTTGGTTTGTTCTGCCTCCCTGAATAATGTGCTATTAACTGGCCACGTTGCTTACACAAATTGCGCTTATCTTCGGTAGTTTTGTTGCGTTTGTAGCATTTGAAGTAACTTGTGGACATTTCTTACTTATCACTGATTTGTTGCTGACCAAATTACTTCATATGGTAATTTAGCGAAGAGTTATGCCACCATATCTGTATGCATTATTGGATTTATTTTATTTCAGCTTGTCGTTTAAAGTGAATGGCTGTTGTTTGATATCCCTGGTATGGTTGCGCTTGATGTGTATGTTGACAAGGTGCCTCCCTGTCTATTACCCACTACCTCGTCCATACCGACTCTAGGAGATAGTTGTTCGTTGCTGGAGGGGACGGGGTGCACGGCTCTTGTGGCCATGCTAGGCTCGAAGAGTGGCTCCAAGCACTCAGTGTGGAGCGGACTACGTTCCAGCCACCGCCTTGTGTGCGGTTGATTCAAAAATACAGCGTGCTTGTGTTCGCTTGTGAAGGAGTTTGGGCCGGCGCTGTTGATGAAACGTGGCTCCCATCCACATGCCTCTCGGTCTTATTCCTTCGGATTTACACTGGATATGGGGTGTGTGGATGGTGCAGCGCAAGCCATCTATGGTCCTTCTGTAGGCGCAGGCGTCCTGTGGCTGGCCACAGTGACAGGCAAATTCGAAACCGGATGCCGCCATCCATATGGTACGAGTAACATTTTGTTTACCTTTCTGGCCAATGCCAAAACGGTGTTTACTTCTATTGCGTGTGACCTCGTTCACCAGCGTTTCTGATACATCTCTTCTACTCCCATTGGCATTTCACTACTGTCCGTCACTTTCGTTATTGTTTGAAGGAATATTTTACTGCAAGTTCGGTAATAACACTGTGTTAGTTTACTACTGTCGTCTTAGGCTGCAGTGTTTGTCCTTTAGTTTTAATTTTTACCTTGTGGCGTTAGGCTTTCCTTGGTTGTTCTGCAGAACCCTTTGGCTTGATTGAAGAATATGGTAATGACGTTCATTTGTTCATTCTTTCCTTGTGGTTATTCCCCTTTGGCTCTCCACTGATTCCTCTCCATTTTCGTATACCCACCAAATCGCAGGTTCCTGTCCTCCAACTTTTCGGTAAATGTCAACGCGTCTTCTGTGACCGGGAGACCACCTACTCCAGGTATGTTTCTCTTCGTTTGGTGATAATCGTTTCTCATTGGTGTTCTATTCTGCTCGGAGGTCCGCTGGGTTCACATTGATCTGGCATTTATCACTACTAGTGCTTGGGGCAGGTTTAGATTTTTCACTTGTTTCGAAAGGATGCCCAGTGTTATTTATTCAGGTTTTGGAGGTACATCAATGTTAAACCCAAACGGTTGCTGGATGGCCGAGAGAGCGGTGCACTAATGTTTATTAGCTGAGCTGTTTCTATCGCGCCATATGGAGATCTGAACCGGTAGCTTTTCTCTTGCCAAATCAACTTTAAGCTCTCCTTTGGTCTGCGTTTATGTAACCCACCAATTCAATCGTTTGTTACAATTATCAATCTAGTGCCATTAACGTGTATGTTTAAGGTCTCAGAGATCTCGTGTGATAGAAGTTTGGCTTGACGCTGCTGGTCAACGCCCACAGCCTCACTCTCACCAGACAACAATCGACTGTACCCTATTTATGTACAGCGTGTTTCATTCATTCCTTGTGAAGGTGAGATCTGCTTTCATTGATGGACATGACTATAGCTTTGACCTATCGAGACCTCGCAATCGGCACTTTATTCACTTTCGCAGCTTCGTTGGGCTCTTCTGTTCGCCTGTCCACTTACTCACCCACCGTCTTGCGTAAACATTTAATGCTCTCCTTTTTATAGACCCCATTAATCACAATGCCCCAAGACGATTTCCCGTATGTGTTCTATCACCTGCACCCACTTACCCTAGCAGTGTACATGCTTATTCTGAACATACTGAAACCATAGCCCATGTCTTTACCACAATAGCATGAAAACAGTGATGGTAATGTCGCTTTCGTTTTACTGCAAGAAATTTTCGCTCTCAATTTACCGTCATTGTCGCGAGGTACCAATTCCTTCGTTTTCATCTGCGTCCACACCGTTTTGCATTTGGAGTGCGTGCCAGGGTCCATGCTATATTTGGCCACTTTTTTCTAGTTGGCTTTGCTTTTGGTCGCGGTTGCCTGTGTTTAGTTCTCTGTGTCGCATCCGATATTTTCACGATTACCGTTATGTCTCGCATATTCTTCGGCACAGAATTTATCAGTTTTAGGATTTCATTCAATTACCGTCACTGTCCAAACTCCCATCTCTCGAACCTTTTTGCTCATACTTCTAGTCATTACTACTTTACTACTTTGTAGCGAGGTTGGATGCCAAATTCAACGCAGATTCTGAGCACCCACTTTCCGGATTCATCTCTCCCCTGCCGATTGAGGTTCAGAAAAGTGCAGACTCGATGGAAACTCGCAGGTCTCCTGTTCCCTTTCAGATGGACGGGAACGGAGATGGTGTGTTACTTCCAGCTGGTTGCAAACGTGACCGTTTTGCAGTTGACAGGGGAAGTTTGCCCCGACTTAAGCTTCGCAGTCGCCCACCTCTAGATGGCGCGAACTTGAAGCTTTCCAGCGAATCTTTGGTTCACAGTAGCTCAAGCGATCTCACAACTTCAATCAGTACTACTCCAGAAACGTTCAAATATGTGAAAAAGGTAGGTTTCGCTCTGGTGCAGACTTTCTTCTAGTCACCACATTTATCCTGTTTCTTTCCTTTTAAGCAGTAGGCGGAACATAACCTCCACAAGCAATATACGAGAAAAGATTTACGCGAGAGCGCGCTGATAAATACCTGGCTTTGCTCCCTTCCAGACAAGACAGGAAAATAATAGTAGGGGCATAAGAGACCTTTGTATCTTCGCATCTAACTGTACAACTATCAGATGTTTTTGATTCTAACAACTTGGTTTTTCAGATATAAACTGTGAGGGCATAGACAGACACAAATTTCAACTCCTGATGTCCCTGTTGGACAAATGAATTTACAATGTCCAACTTCATTTCAGAAACGAGGTGTACAAGCTCTTTACGTAGTGGCGATGGAATCCCCGTAGGACTATTGTTGGGTGGGAATGCTAGCGGAATGTCAACTAAGATCGGTGGCTTCAGGTTTTAAACTCTCCGTCTTTAGTTTCAGGTTATCTGAGTGATATAGGTGACCGGGTGACCGACTTGCAGAATGTCGTCCAGTGCTTTAGCGTGGCACATCCCACTGATGCGTTAGCAGCAAGATGTAAATGTTAACTAACGTATTTTCATGGATTCAGACCTGATGTGAAGCGAAGGCAAATCGACCAAGATGTAACTGGGAACCTATACTGAACAGGACAATGCACAAGTTTCCCAGAGTTTTGTGTCACTCAGTCCCCCATACATACGCGAGCTGTAATGTGGGCACCGCTGAAAATGTATGGCAGTGAACTAATCAGATGTCTATCGAAATGGTTGTCTGGCACGCTTCATCGACACTAATCTGATGCCCAACGATGCTAAATGGGCCATGCAAACAACTGAAACGTATTAGCTGTTCATTACTCCTCTCCGTCAGGTTGACAATGCAAACAATGCAACAATCATTGGCGAAGACCATCAGAATGGCCTTTAATGCAACCTACTAATCGTAGTTCTCACAAGTAAATAGCTTTTTCCCTAGACTTAACGACATGTCTGATCATCTCCAGTCACCCGATTCGCCTGACCTTAAGCACGTTGGACACACAACCGAAAGAGCGGTCAATTAACGTCTACCGACTTGGCTTAACAACTAGAGAGATGGATCTAATGTTAGCGCGATAATAAACCACCTGCTCAATCAGCGGTTAGCAGCACGATTGCTTGTTATCGTGAGGCAGTACGCATTAGATTGACAATCCCGAATCTGCGCATTCAGATGAAATTCCCCCAAACATTGCAGCCAAAATGAGGTGGATCGGTTCGCATCTAGCAGCTCCACTTGCCGTCCCTGGATCGAAACGCTGGCACGCATCATGAGCGCAGTTTGAATCATCTCAGCATTTATTCTCTTTATATATATATATATATATATATATATATATACTCAAATAAAATTCGTCGTTCTCGGTACATTTTCTGTTATAAGCCGGGCAGCGAGTAAATCAAAAACAGGTGTTCGCTTCATACCTGCTTCTCACGTTTCTTTTCGGGAACGATAATGTCTACCGATTGCTCTTCTGAGCTACGTCTGAGACGAACCTGCATACTTGCTCAGTTTAATGTATGCAGCCCATGGTACTTTAGTGTACATATGGTGTTGTCTCTCTTATTGCGCAAACTGGCCCTGTTGGATCGATTGTGTTCAAGAAATTTCATGTGATCGTCTGGAGCAAGCAAATATTCTTGGGCCCCGGATGCATCCACTCTGTTGTACACCGGGGAACCAGATAATGCCGAAATGTCACTAGTATTCCTAAACACCTTGCCCACCCTCCCTCAGTGCATTTCGGCCAACCACTGACGTCCATTGTCTGTTGTCTTCCACATCATTCAATTTCCTCCCGATCTTTCATCGCATGTGCCGGACATACTACCAGTTTTATCACGTCTGGCAGAACACCCAACTCTTTACAGCTGGTTGAGATTCGCTCCTGGCCTGCATCACAAATTGCGTTTCAATTTCTCTTTAGTACGGCTTATCCCCATAGTTCCTATGCATCTCGCTATCAGTGACCATTCACAGTACGCACGCGTTTTCTAATTATATATTGTGGTACTGAGTTGGTTGGAACCTTAATCTTGATCTGTTCATTCTCTTTCGGTGTGTGTAGGACAAGGAGTCTAAGAGTTCATTGCGTGACGCACTGGATACACAACGGCAAGTCATACTGACTGCATGGCACACGATAATTGTGAAGAGTGGCACCCGACTACCACCACACGGAGGCGGCTCATCAAACTCAGTCCGGTCTGGTAACATGGAAGGCGAATTTCCTCAGGACCCAAGTCATCACTCCTCACGCAACCACTCACAGGATTCGCTAGAGTTGGAAGTGTTGGAAGTTAGTTTTAGGCCACATTTTTTAGTGTCGTTCTCTCACTGTTTGCTCTCTACTTTCCAATTTATCTGAGTACTGCTACCGTCGACATTTTATCTTTTCCTCAACCACCCTGCGACTGGCGTGTTATTCTCACTCTTTTACTTTCGGTAACAATGCTCTTCTATTCGCCGCGATCCACTTTGGCCTAGTGTACTGGCCATGCGCGCGTCTAATTTTCATGCGGTCGTTTCATTAACCGTGCATTTTCATTGTTTCTGCAATGAACAACATAGCTGCAACAATTGTTTCTCCAAACTCGCCATCTGGCACGGTGCCACAAACCAACGACACTCATATTCATATATGTGTTTACACGTCGTACAGTTTCGTTTGAGGCAACTTCGGCGTTTGGCATACGTGTTTGCACTACTTGAGGCTTCTGCTCGTCTGCCACACTCAATGGCATTGGTATGCTGTCAAAATCTCATTTATTGACATGTTCACAGCAAAGTGTTTCGACACCATGTCGAGATTTCCGATAGCTACCACAAGGCGATTGTCGTCGTTCACCTATGCTTTTGCAGCAGCCGTTGGCTTTCTGGTGTATGGCCTTTTTTCCCGGAAATCGTGTTTCTCTCGTGCATAAGTTGTTTTGTAATAGTCATATATACTGGACCCGCTGTTTAATGACAGTTGGTTCCTCTCCCACAATATTGACGATGCAATAGGAAGATGTGATACGTTGGCACTCTGTATTTCATGCTTATCTACAATGTTTTTTTAAACATTTTGCCACTTCGATAAGGACCACATTCGCCCTTGCACTAACGACATCAACGAAAAACTGCCTCGTTTTCCACTTTCTGGATCACTTCTCCAATACCACCAGCTGGGTTCTTTTGCGGTTTTCATTACACCGCAATCCGTCAACTGGAACCGGTCATAAAGTGCAGTTTTACGGGAGGTCAACTGATCTTTCTCGTATAAGATCCCGTAACCGAGCCTCATCCCAAAATCAATCGCAGTGACGATTGATATCGAGCATCGCAATCCTTTCATACATCGAGAAGTTTCAGCTGACCCCCAAATGACTGATTGACTTACGTGACATGCTTTTGCCGTTATTCGGGAAACTTACAAATTGGCACATTAGCTGACATCTTCATGTATCGGTTCGAATTGCAAACACTATCGATGTTGGTCGTGGAGTGTAGTGTTCTGGAGAAGTGACACCCATCACTTACCTCTTTACTCCCTTTTTCGTTGTTTCTCTTCGCCGTCTGAGCACATGGCTTGCAGTTTCACCTTATCTGTTCGTTCTATGCTTCAATAAATTCAGAGGTAATTTGGTGTTGCCCGCCCGCGCGAGCGCTTCGACCTTATTTGCTTTCATCAAGTAAGGATAGTAGCTATCGAACCTGGGATCATTTGGCCGATACTTGGGATTTCTACCCATAGGTGACCGGGTCATGATGGACAACGCTTGGCACAACGCTTGATGACTGATTGGATGGTCGTTTTGAAGTGTACATCATGCGATTGGATTAGGACGCACAATCTTAATGTAAACCTTGATTCATATCGGAGCGAACCTTGGGCTGTTCCGTCGTTAGGTCCATTCTTGATGAAGCACAAAGCAGTTAGGTGTTTGCCCGCCAGAAAACTCCGCTATCCACTACGTGTTTCGATGTTACTTAATCTCATCAGCCAGAGAGTAGTGTTTTCTCACGGGCAACACCATATTTCCCCTTCTGCTTCCTCAGCTGCGGTTCTGTGATCGACTGTGCCTAGGTTCTCTTTAGTGCCAATAACGGTCTACATTGAAACTGCACGTCGTAATCCACTCACACGACGTATACTTTAAAATTACCCTCCAATAAGCCAGTGGTGCTTTGCGGTCCATCATCTCCACGTGGGTCTCGGTATCCTGAACCCCTTCGAAGAAACTGGTTTTCCTTGAGTTCCCTTCCAATGGTGACCACCTCGTACAAGTCACTGCTAAAAGAATAAGCGCCTCAATGAAAAAGATATACAGCGCAGCAGAGCTACGCTTGCTGGTGACCTCAATACCGATACTTAAGTGTTCAGTGAAGACGCCTGTGTCGAAGCAGTGCACGCCCCATTGCTTATACAAATTCACAGGTAGCTGTGTGACAGCTATGTTGGGCGCACTATTCGAGATCTGGGTGTTCGAATCGATGAACACATTCCAAAGTGGTTTCGCAAGCAGATGGGAAATGCGACGATCGCACGCATTGAATGGAGAAGCAAAGTTGCCTCCGCAATTATGAGGCATTTGCTGAGCCCAGATCATCAAGTAAACCCGAATGAGTCATTCACAGTGCTCATGCGCAGTCAAAGGCCTCACACACTCAAGCTACTCGAGGTCATTGTGATCGATCGACAGCGCCCAGCACTGTGTGTTCAAAAGCAGCTGACAGTGACATTAAACCTACCGTGGTAGCGTGCAACGCACCAATCGGAAAACACTCGATCAATAATTGATTTCATGTAACGTTGTTTTGTATTCCTTGTTAGTTGCTTGTATGTGGTTGACGAGGATGCACGAAATGACATTGTCATCCCACAATCTTCGTCTTCTGATATTCTTGTTTTGTAGTATTAAGGGATATTCATGTTTTAACTTTCTGCTAAGTTAGTTAATTCTTGTGTTTTCCCTGTTTCCCTTAATCGCCGAAGAGCGTTTATTTCATCTTCGTTGTCTCCATACCAATGTTTGATTGTACAAGAATCACTGTTGTCATTTGATGTACTTTTGCGTCGCTATCCTCTTTGTGGCTCAGATAAGAAGTAGAAGCCCAAGGATCCTAATTTGTTTTAGAAACATATGTTCATAAACGTATGCAAAATTAGCATGTTTTGCTCCGGCTCGATTTCGAGTTATCATTGGATCATCTTGGTACGCTACTCCGATGACGTTGTTGAGAGGTTTCCCTTCAAAATTCTTTGGGCTGATTCACAACAGCCTTGTTTTGCTTCACTCTGACACATTCTTCTAAATCGGATAGGTAATTTCTACTCGCCTTGAATCACGCTACATTCACTTCTTACACATTTTTGTGCAACCTGTGAGTGATTCCGCGCCCATGGTTGACCTGAACTGAATGTGGAGTCTGTTTTTGGTTTCACTCAGGAATTGACCACTTTGGTTCGCTTGACTCTTATGTATCTCTGACGGATGTCTCCGTTACCTCGCGCGCCAACTCACCCCTTCTGATTTTTTTATTCTCGTACCCCATCGAGGTGAGTAGCAAATGGGGTAAATGTCGAAACGAGCGTTTGTTCAGCTTCACACACACACACACATAGTCTGTCAACACAGTACTAGTTCAGACGACTCGTAATGCAGTACATTGTCATCCAGGAAATCGGTAAACCATACTGCAACATGCGGTGTTATTGCGGAGTTAGCGCTCGTATCTTGTTGCTACTGAATTTGCACTTGCTAATCTATGAGCTTGCCAATTGCTTTGTGCTTCGTAACTGAATACTAGGAAATATCTGTTCGAAGGCCCATCTACATTATGTGACGAGTTATACCTCCCGGGTTTTATCGCGACCACTACTCCCTTCTACACCCCATCAATCGGGTCTTACTGTTATTGTCTGCTTCCCCCCCCCCCCCGGTCACAGCTCTTTTCGGACTTGCTGTTTCGTTTCATACCGTCAACGTTTCTACCCCTTCCCTCAATTGATTCACTTTAAAACAATCTTTTTTGTCCGCGGCTCCTGTATCTCCGTTGCTTGCGTGGGTTAATCGCTGTTTTTGCACATGTTCATTTGCAGTGTCTGTTCGACATGCTGCTGGACAATCTTCAAGGAGGTTCGGCATGGAACGACATCGCGAAACATCTGACCAGGACTTCCTCAGTTACGGAACGTTCCACTGCTGCACGGTCTCCTGAGCACCAACAGGACGCGCTTGGCGAACGTTTCGAGAACATCATTCGGAAGCTGACCGAACATGATTATAGAGAAGAAGTTTCCTTGTTTACCTCCTCGTGGCTGTTTACTTTTTTAAACTCTGCTTTGGACAAAATGTGGAAGTCGTTCGAGCGGCCCCTGTGTGGACAGTTGCAGAGTCCACACGAGCTGTTGGCTTGGCACAAGTTTATCCGGGACGCTGCAGTCTTTGCTCTGGAACAACTTAATTGTAAGCTTGCGTTATATCTCTCCAAAGGGTGTTCAATTGTTTTTTCTCTCCTTAACCTCACATCATCAGCTGTGCTGACAATGTCCTCTTTGGTGGTCGGGTCGAGCTTCAACTCTGCACACCCTTCACTTTCATGCTTTCAAGTTAACGTTTTTAGTGGTTATGCCGAACAGCATCGATGAACCATACCCACCATTGAGGATTCACCTTACAGCGCTCTCCATAAAACCTTGTGCTCTTGAGCTGTGTTTAATGTACGGGCTTCTCTGTGTGCTGGCGATTCACCTCTCCGTCAAATTTCTCTCTGTGTTTGTCTCATTCAATCGAGAGGTGTCTTCAATGCATAGCCCTATCATTCTCAACGAGACCGTGCTGCTCATGCCATGATGCGCTTGGCAATTGACTGTTTTTCAATTCATTTGTGGGAGGCGCGATGCTCTTCAGCATGCATCTCAGGCCAAATCACCGCAGTGTGTACCTATTACTTATGCCTCCCCATGATTTCTTATCTTGGTATACCCATGGTTCCCTTGTTTACCTTTCACTTGTATACAAATCGTGTTGACACTTTTTATGTAACTGGATTTGCTGTGTTGAAATTCGCTTGCGCCCGAACTGGTGTGGTTGTGTGTGTCTGTATTTGTGTGTGTGCGCGCGTGTGGGTTCCACAGTACAACCGAACAGTTGTTTCCTCGTGAACGCGACTTTCAAAGCAATTTCACATCCCGGTACAATCAGTCTGGCGATGTTGCGGCTGGCAATCCTAGGAGCTATTCATTATCTGAAACTGGAACGGTGTTTCGCCTTACGTTTGCAAGTGCCAGTTGGCAAATTGGGTTCAACACACCTTTTAGCCCAATGCGCATTGAAAATCGCTATGCAAACGTTTGGCTGGTAACTGTGCAACGGATCTACCGAGCATCGTTCGTACGCAGTTGGAACACCTGGTTCGAGGTTTCAGTGTGACAGTCTTTTACTCTCAATCGGCCTCCAAACATATTGCTATTCTTCATTTTGTTCTTACCAATCGAGTTGCACGCAAATTGCTATTCGCTTCAATCTTTGGGTGTTGATCCTCCTGGTATTGTGCATAATTTGCGTGCGTGTCGAATACACGGAATGCCCCAAGTTTGTGTTGATGCAATGTTAACCAGCGTCACCTATCTATCCACCTGTCAGAGGATGCGAATGTTAGCATCCTCACTATGGGTTTGAAATTCGACGAAACCCGTCTGTTGGCATGAGAATAGGGACCGCGATAGTTTTGCACCGCACCCAAAAGCAGTGGCATAGAATAAGAGGTAGAAGTACGAATAACCTTAAATCTACATTATTTTCTGACTTTCTATTCAAACGGGAATTTTGTTCTGCCACCATTCACTTTGTCCTTTCACCAAATGTATTGCTCCTGACGAGCCGTAACAGGTGAGGCTTCGTCAAGGAATTCGTGCTGCAGTAGCAGTTTCTTAATCTCGGCGCGACATTGCGGAGTCTACTTCGTACCGGTCACACGCATCTCTGTGCGTTTAGGATGACTCGAATGCCTTTACCGATCGCGTCTAATGATGCACTTGCTTTCATCACCTACCACGTTCAAGTTTTAGTGAGTTCCTATTCTGGTCTGGGAGCGGGTGGTACAACATATGTGCTCTGCAGCCGTTCCAGGTAACCCGGGCTGTCTCTTCTCCGAAGTGAGTCGCGCGTAACTCGTTTGTTGCGGGCAAACTTGACGTAATGCGGCATAGTTGTAATCTAACTACTATACTCCATGAAACCTATTCTACATTAACCGACATCATAATGTGAAGTTGAATCTACTATTTATTCTTTCACTTCTCTCTAAATTTCTTGATCTCTGTTCGCCCACCGGTAGTGACATTCGATTTATGCTTTAAAAGTTTCGGTTACATCCTCTGAAGGATAAATGTCCTTTTTGAAAACCAATTTTAATGTCATAACTATGGTGCGGTATAATATTGTCAATAAGACTAGGTGCAATCCCCCGAATGAGTTCTGCTCATGAGACACATTGTACAGCATTTGAGCACCAATCTTCCTAAAGTAAATGCACGTGCTCGGTTCAGGAAAGAGTGCTTGGTTTATCTTCTATGGCTATTATTTAGCCAGTACCGGAATCAGATGGTGTGTTGCCGTTTGTCGTGGTCGATTCTTCAAGTCTGACTGAAATTTTCCCTGTATTCTGTAAGTTTTTTGTTATTCATTCTATTAGGATGCTGCTATTCGTGTTAACTTGGTCACAATAAAATCCATCATATTGTTTTAATGTAGGTTCTTATAATGTGATACACTGATTATTGATGTTGCGAGCAATTCGTCGCGGGCAGTTCTCAGTCAGACAGTCTCCTCACACATTCGGAAAAGGGCCGGATGGTCGTTTTATCTTATTGGGACGCCAGCAGCACCCGTTCCTCGAGTGCCTCAGGCCCGGAGTCCAGCTCACGACCTGCATGATTTGATGTCAGTGCCTTATGCCACCAGGCCAGCCATGACGATAGTGTACCACTATGACTGATAGCTTGCTGCGATATAGCCCATATTATGGACGTGTAAGGGAGTCTTGACTCGTCAGAGCCATTAATGTGTTAGAATTCATATAAAACGCTTTGGCTGTTGCTTGCATGCAACCTCCCAAGCATTTTTATTTGACAATCATCGGAACCCAATCGGGCAATGGTATTGCATATTGGCCCGATAACACTGTGCGTTTATTTCACTGTTGTTTCACTCGAGGCTATTGCGAGGCATACGACATACTTCGTGCACTTTGGGCTCAAGTTGCTCGTGATAAGATGAACCACTCGTGGAATACTCGGGAGCAGAAAAAATACCTACAGCACTCCAGGAACACGAACGACTTAGAAAATTGGTCATGAAATCCTTTTGGGTGGTCGAAAGTAAGTTTAAAAATTAATGCTTGAAAAGGATGTGACCACCAACGTCGGGGCACAGTATAACATGTCCCCTCAACAGTGATGCCAACGAATCCTACCGCCAGCTGAATGAGAGGGGTGTAACTTGTTTACCATCCTAGCTCGGAGTTTGAGTTTAAAAGCAAACTGAGACATCACTAGCTTGGTTGCTTGTAGGAAACAACAGAATAAGCAGTCTTAAGATTTTCAACATGACAGATATACAAGCAATGGGGCGGAATTTCTTAGGTTCTCTTTTTGGGACTGGCGTTATCCTAACGGGTCTCCAAATGTCGGGAGTAGTACCGCTGTGTAGGTAGCAATTGAACAGATGTGCTAAAGGTAAGGGGATGCAGTCGGCGCACTCCCTTAAAACCATTGGTGATAGAGCATCAGGTCCTCCGGCCTTTCTCACATTCAGCCTCTTGAGTTCCTGGTAGACCCTAAGGTGTTGGAATGCAAATGTTGGACCAGCTGCGGATAGTGATAGCGGGCGAAATGAAGACAGGACAGGCATTTTAAGGGGCACCTCGGAATTCAGAGTACAGTTTATCGACATCTATAGCCCCTAGATGTTTACTAGAACCTTCACCACAGTTGTTTCAAACGCTGCTACGGGTCACGGCAGTTGTTATTGGATAAAATGGCGTCAATATACAGGCCATTCAGTCGTATAATCTCCGTTTTTATAGCTGAAGAAAGGAATTTTACACGATCGGGCAGTTTACATTTATATGCACATTCTTTCTTCCTTCTGAGTTGTTTGAGTAATGGGGAGGAGAACCTGTCTGCCCTTAAGTGAAATAGTTTCAAATGGGCAACAAAGGTCGAAGCAGAAATTGAGAGAGTCGCTGAGACGTTCACATTGAACGGACAAATTGTCGTTGAAAACAGTGAAATCAATGGAGGACAACGTTGTTTGAAGTCTCGCGATGTTGGACATGAAACAATCTCATCGCCTTTTTAGTTTTGAATGGTATATAAGTCAAAGAAATGGCGTTTGTCTTACTGTAAATAAGTGGGTCATAATTGCAGAATGGTGCCCTTTTTGCGTAGAAAATAATCAAGCTTGGTTTGTGAAGACAATCTTTACTTTGCTTCTAGTCTATTTGGAAAGGTCACTATGTTCGTCAGATCAAATGCCTGAATAAAATTGGTATCACAATTATTGCAATCTCTAGCAATCACACAGACTGAGCGTTCGAATTTCGCTAGTAACACCGTGGATAACTCATCAGCAAATTTGTTCAGTTGGGACTCCGGTGTGTCGGGCGATATGTATACGTTCCCGACGACAACAGCAATAAAACCTCACAGGAACCGTGTCTTGCATTAAATCAAATGACAGCTAACAATGGTTGTTGTGTACGTGAACATTAAGGCTGCCGAATTGCCCCATCGTTGATTGAGGTAAGTAATTATACCACCACGATTTTGGGGTACTCTTGGTCCATCGGCCCTGATGGAACGATAGACAGTAAGTTGAACCCTATCGTCTTCTATATCAGAATGCAACCAACTATCTCGTAGCATTAAGACGGCGGTATTTGTATAATCACTTTCATGCAAGATTGTGGTGAGCTCCAAGCTTTTTCCTGGCAATGATTGAACATTGCTGACAAGGATCATTGGTAATTGCGTCTGGTTTACTGAACGACGTCTTAGACTGACTTGCCAACTAACTCGGTGCTTTCTGATTTTTCCACATTGTTTTTTCATCGTTTTTTAAAGGTCTTCCTAACTTTATGGAAATATTCAACAATTTGCAAGCAAAAAGCGGTGTCGCGAAAAGTCTTAAAAAAACAGCAGGATAGGATATTGTAGTAATCACCATTGATCCAGATAAACAAAATTACTAAACGATTTATACGCAATTGACGATTTCGCAATAACTATTATAAAAATGAATTCACGACAGCGACGGCCATTTTGAAGGTGCTGCCGGCTGCAAAACGGATCTTTTTGAGATATTATTGCCAAGGTGTTTTAGAACAGCCTTTTATCTAGCGCAATGTAGATGAACATTTGTTCTTACCAATCCGTTTCACAAAATTATATCTAGTAAGAACTTCCGATTGCACCTGTTTTTTCTGGGATCATGCTAATGTGCTGTTTTGCGCATTTCTGCACATTGCACCATTTACTTCCAATACTGTTCTGCATTTGTATAAGACCTGCAGCACTCAAGTGCATAGAGTTTCCCTCACTTTTTTCTGCTCAGGCGATGCATCGTGATGCGCAGTGGTTGCAACGATTCCGTTTGTCATGTTTGCTCTTTTCCACCTACCTACGAGCCCCCATTGTGCTTTGTTCTTGTAAAATTTCAGCGATCAACGTATACGAGGCGATTGACACACGCAGGACACGCGATGCACCGTTATCGAGCACTCGCGCGGTCCTTCGACGCAACCGCACATTTGCTGCGCATGGGGGCTCAGGTGCGTCCCGACATTCCCAAGCACGTGCCTCGCGGTCAGGGTCACAGTATGCGCCCACTTTTCCCACTCGAGCCGTTCGTCCGGCAACGATGACCTTGCAATCGTTCGATGAAGAAGAGGATGATGCACAATCGTATAGCTACCCTACTGAGTCCGCCGCAGACACAGAAACCTTACGCCGTCGACACATTTCATTTAAGACATCGAGAAGTGATGCTCGGTCTGCGGTCTATGATCCCGTTTTGCCCGTAGATGAGCCTGTTGCAATTCCAGTGGAACCCGTGGGTGCTATTGTTTCTTCTACTACCGCAGCTCAATTGGTGGAAGCAGTTGAGGTGGAGAACGAAGAGGAGGTTTACGCGTACGTTTCCGACTCTTATCTGACGCTCCTATTCTAAGTTCACTTTAGAGAAACGACTCATCTGACATTTTGCAATGCATTCCCATATCTGCTTACGGAATCAATTAAAAGCAAGCTTTATACATTTTCCGCGTTTTATATTCCTGATTTCATATATACTAAAATAGCACAAACAACGCAAACAATGTATAGAATGATTCCGTATCTCGGATAAACGGCCTCCTATTTCATGTACACATTTTATTGGGTCAACAAATGAACGCGACTCGTACAGTAATTCGAAATTATGATGCGACTTTTTGCAACAAAAGAACCCTAAGTCTAGAACGCATAGTGGAACACCGTAGATCTGATAGATCACGATACATTGGGGGCAGGCGTCATTTAGACGTTAAGAAGAAACTCCATGAGACACCCACTTGATAGTGCGCTGAATCTGCAAGTGAGGTTTACCGGCTGTACAGATCTTATGTGGCCCTACGGATTAGTGCTAAGAAACATAGCCAAAGAACAGTATAGTAAGTGGAGGAGAACGCATTTAGTCACGAATTAACGCACGAAATACTGAAAGCACTTTTACTTGGTACAGAGCGATGTTTTTTGAGTTTTTAAATTGTTTACATTTGTGGACTAAGGTACTTTTTGGAATGAAGAGACATCAGAATACTTGATGTTGGATTAGCAAAGTATGAATTATTCGATTACTTACAATGGTGTGGAGACATTTATGGCAGCTTACAGCCTAGTCATATGAAGAAAAGTGCCTACCATGTTGTGACAGTTGAACGCATCGTGGGTAAAAGATCAAGATGACGACCACCTCACAACTACCTTTACTCCTCGTTGAAACCCCCAAGGCGCCTCGATTTTGTTGGCACTGCTGACAATGACAACAAAGAAATGTGGATAGCAAAAGTCACTTTGTAATAAATAGCTAAAATAACTGATGGATGGTTAAATACCTGCAAAACTTCACAATCCGCCACGAGCATTGTGGGCTTTTGCCGTTTAATTGGACAAATTGAGTGAAATTTGTGAAGTAGCCACCAACCCGCATACACTTGATAGACTTCATTCTCAAACAACAATTTGCTCTGCATCGATCTATCAAAAGTGAAAGCCTTCGAGTAGCGAAAGAGCGAACACCGGGCTTTCACTTCAGTGGAATGCACAAGGTACGGTATTACATTCATTGTGTGTCGTTGACATGCGTAAGGGAATCGATACACATTTTCAGAGTGCGTTTGTAAACATTTTCAGGTATAGCGCCTGCTACCTTCCGTTGCGCAATATTCCTGAGGTTCTTCTTGGATCTTCATATGTTAGGGAAGATACCATCCGATAAATACTGATTTCCGCGAGTGGATTGGCGTCCATTTTTAGTACAGCGGATGATAAGCCGTTAAAATCATTGGCCTTATTTAAGTTCCTTTTTTCAGTTGCCACTAGATGACGGCGTGGCTAAGAACGCTTGCGATGTCTGACCAGATGAATGAGGGCTTGAAGTAACTTCTTTATGACCAACAGCTGACGTCAACGCTTAGTTTCACAATTACTGAGCTTCTAACGACAACTGCGACCATGTAGCTCCTTCGAAATTCTCAACAGATCACGGCCGTTACAAATCCCTAGAATACCTTTTACGTATCAGCGGTTCACTATTGTTAACAGTTTTTATTACACAAGAGAAATATTTGATTCTGGCTGCATTTACAACTGCCTTTCTGTCTCCTAAGTTGTAGCGGTGAAGCAAACGTTATCTAAACCTAATAAGATGGTTTCAGCTGCGAATCACAGATTGATTCAGCTAGCGATGAAACCGGAAAGGTGCTCACACTCTCCAAATAAACTGCAAAATTCGTTTAAAGCAGTGTTGTCTGGTGTCCCACCTTGGTGGCTATTAGTCACTCCCACCGCTCATTGATTCTCAGGCGTTTTTGGTCAAAGAACATTATCTGGTTTACTGTAGGCACTGGTGTATCTTGCCACATGTATTTCGGTATCTCATTATTTCCCATGACGTTCCAACTTTTACCAAACAGCCTTCTCACATCGGGATTTGTACTCTCTTGACTGTAAGAGGGACTTGTCAACCAGTATGGCACCTTCTCAATTTGCCAGAGGGTTTCTTGCTAACTCCTTTAAAAGTGTGACTTTATGCTTGAACTCAACAAAAGGCGCTACTTTTCTCAACTAGTTGACGCAGGGAGTCAACATTAATGAATTTGCATTGGTTTGACTAGAGAAACGGTCAAAAGTATTGAAAGCAAACCGATAAACCGGCGATAGAAAGCGTAAAACCACTATTTCCTCGTAACGGCTACTGATCTCAGAGTTCGGTTGAGTCAGATGTAGCCCTTTTATTCTAACACGTCGATCTCTCAGAAAGGACACGTCTGATGAGAATAATGATTGAGTAGTCTTAGAGACATCCTTTTCGGAATCCTCCGAATCAGTCACAACAGTGTCTTCGTTTGTAACAAAGTTGTTTGCGCTGAATTTGTTTTGATAAACAATACGTCAGACAGATAGCCATATCTTTATCCAGCGTACAAGTTTCGTTTAATGAGATTCTGGGTAATAAGCTCCTCGGACCGGCAGTTGCCGGAGATGATTGTGTAGCTGCTTGCTATGGAACGTTGTGTTTTACCTCCATTGTATTATGTTTCGCCATATTTTAACTTGGTTAATACCAAAGCTGCTGTTGATGATGATGATGATGATGATGATGATGATGATGATGATGATGATGATGATGATGATGATGATGATGATGATGATGATGATGATGATGATGATGATGATGATGATGATGATGATGATGATGATGATGATGATGATGATGATGATGATGATGATGATGATGATGATGATGATGATGATGATGATGATGATGATGATGATGATGATGATGATGATGATGATGATGTGATGATGATGATGATGATGATGATGATGATGATGATGATGATGATGATGATGATGATGATGATGATGATGATGATGATGATGATGATGATGATGATGATGATGATGATGATGATGATGATGATGATGATGATGATGATGATGATGATGATGATGATGATGATGATGATGATGATGATGATGATGATGATGATGATGATGATGATGATGATGATGATGATGATGATGATGATGATGATGATGATGATGATGATGATGATGATGATGATGATGATGATGATGATGATGATGATGATGATGATGATGATGATGATGATGATGATGATGATGATGATGATGATGATGATGATGATGATGATGATGATGATGATGATGATGATGATGATGATGATGATGATGATGATGATGATGATGGTGATGGTGATAGGGAGCACGCTGTGTGGTTGGGTTGCGACTCGCAACCTCTATTGAGACCTCGGTTCAATTTGAGGTAAACCTCGGTCATTCCGATCTCGAAAACCGTATCCTGAATGGATATATTTGGGTGTTGCTCTTCCCAACACTGGCGCACCACGACCGCGGTTTCCTCTTGGTTTAGACTCGTCAAGTTGAGATAGCGTGAGCTGGGATGGAACTCAGAGCCGTCAGCCGTAAACTACTAAGCTCTGAGTTCCAGCCCAGCTCAGGCTATCTCCACCTGACGAGTCCAAACCAGGACAAAACCGCGGTCGTGGTGCGCCAGGGTTGGGAAGAGCAACACCCAAATATTTCCATTGGTTAGTGCCAGTTTTATTGTTACTGCTTTTGCACCTTACGACGTCATGGATTCGTACTTTCTTTGTTGTATTTTCTGCGTATCACCATAACCTGCACACCTAACCCACTTTGCTTGTCTCCTTGCCTCCAGCTTGGATTGCCTGACTTTGTGCTGCACAGCACTTGTTAACAGATGGCTATGTTAGGTCGCGCGCCGCATCGTTTCCTTCTGTTCCTTTCTGGGGTGTCCACTCTCACTGTATTGAAGCATTGTTTTTCTTCCCAGACAATCCCATAATTTCTTAACGGTACATTCACACTTTATTCGATCTGTCCATTCTTTCTTGTTCACGTATAGCTTGAGAGCGAAGTTGGCGAGGTTAGTTTCGGAACTCACCGATCTTCTCAGAGCGGACATACGACACAAGGAGGCCGAAATCGATAGGTTACGGTGAGTAGTTTATTTATCGTCATCATGTGATCCACTGAGCGGTGATAGTATTTATCGCTTTTTCAACCGTATCTCTGTAAACTATCTAACTATTATGCACCTATTTCAATATTTGCTTTTGCAGTGAATGCAACCACAGCGTTGGATTTCACGGCGTGGGTAAGCACCCCATCGCATTTGCATGTTTCGTTGGACCATTTAATCTGCTTTCTATCATACAGTAGGTAGATGTATGCACAATTTCGCTTGCTTCTTGAGGGAAATGGTGTTCATTTTTCGCTTCTTTGATTACGCCTTCATATCCTGGTACCTAGCCTATTGCTTCCTACATTACATTCATCGAATTTGTCTTTTCGACAAACTATTCTTACATTTCCACTGCAGACTATCCACCCTTCCGTATCCTTGTGTGCCAATTATATAGGGGCTTCTGTCGTCCATAACCAATCTTCAACTCTTCGTTGCATCTGTCTAAATCGCAGCATGCAATCTCAGTTTGGATCACTACTTACTTTTAAACAGACCTCCGTCGTCCCTATCACTGGAACTACTTGCACTCTTCACTTGGCAATGGCCAGATTTATGAGTGAAACCTTGTACGTAGTGTTTGACAGCAGGCAAGTTAATCAACAGACCACATCACTACTAGCAACGTTTGCCGCTGCGATTAGGTATCCATTTCTTCCCTCTTCCTGTCTATACGTGTCGATTACACTTTCAAATTTCCCAGTCTCATCTTGCTCCATGTCTGCATTGATTCTTCCACGTTGAATACACCAACTTGATCTTTTGAACTGACTGTCATGTTCGTTTACCTTTCTTTCTAGAGCTTTCCACTGGCCATCCTAGCCTTCGAGACTGGTTTTCCAGCATGAATTTGTCGACCACTGATGTTAACATAGTATGTTCTTTACGTCTTGTTTTGTCGCTATGTTTGTTATCGTGAATGGTTGTCTATATCCACTTTTATTCCATTTTGAGTTGTATTCGTCACTGGCGCATAAATCACTAAGACTTCGTCTCTCAGTGCTGGTCGTGGTTCCAGAAGCACAAGGCCTAACCGGATTTCGGCAGGCTGCATACATGAGCAAGTAACTGCAACGTTCCGCTGCCTATCCTCCTAGGATATTCGTTCTCACTCCGTGCAGAGAATGGGACCGACTTCTCAGGTGACGTACTCACTTATTTTGGGATCCCACCTTTTTCTTGCGTGCTAACTAGTCTCGTTATTTTTACCTGCTGCGCGCGCTCACTCGGATCGCCTGTCATTACTGTGCTATGTTTCCCAAATCTCATTTTCTTTCTTTACTGCTGTCACCTTTCCTCTTTAACTTCGCGATTGACGAAGTCATAGAAACAGCATTCGTTGGACACGACCTACAAGGTATGGAGGTACTTCGTGGTGAGCGACTTTTTAACTTGGAGTATGCGGTCGACATTGCCCTCATCTGTAACAGCCTCCAAATTTGCCAAGCAGCAATGGACAGATTTGCACTGGTTGTCAGTTTTTTAGGTTATGCTTTGCACCCTCCAAATGAAAACTACTTCTTCGAGATTGGAAGGGACCCACTCCTGCACTGACTCTTGTGGTGTTCAGCTAGAAGTCGTTCAGGAATTCAATTACAGCTATATTAGCGCTCGTGGGATTAATTATGGGATCACGAACGGTATCGCAAATGCTCGATGCTCTTTTGTTAATCTCCACCCTCTGTGGCGGCGACGTGACATTACTCTCGCTCTGAAGGGCAGAGTTTACAATGCAGCCGTCCGTACAACCCTCCTGTACGGTTGCGAAACTTGGCCCATCAAGTCGATTATCGCTGCCCACACAGCTTAGCTCATGTCTGGTGGGAACATCGCATGAGCATTGAATGTGTTCGGCATTTGGTATTTGGTACAGGAAAAGCGAGTGAACCGCTTAGCACCGACGGCTGAACCATGTGTTGCGCATGCCAACCCACCGACTCTCGCGTCTTGTGTTGTTTGCCCCTCGGGGGTGTGGATGCGAGATGCCGAGCAATGACTTGATCAAGAGGAATGAAGGCCCTCACTTCGAAGTTTTCGTCGGTTGGTGCATCCCGATTGCCAGGCTGGGGTCCCAAGGACCATGAACACGTTCGGTGGGACACACTCGCTAACATGGATATGAGCCGGTCCCAATGCTTGCTGTGCCGTGTGTTTCTTTTTTATCCCCCTATTGAGATTCCCCCTCCAATCCCGATCTCATATCAGCTTTATAGTATGATATTTAATCTTATATTACTTGATTTTTTACAATGTTCTTTTTATTATATTATCTCTTTGTATTGCGGCACATTAGCTGAGGTGTGTTTCACCCTCACCTAACATGTAATGATGGTGACGACCGACAATTCTTTCGACTCGTCACAAATAACTAACTAGTATCTTCTCGACATAGTGAGGCGCGTCTGAATAGGCAAGATCATAGCAATATCAACACAAATGATTGGCAAATGGGAACAGTCTTACCTGTTCCACTCGGCGGCTTACTTGCTGTCTGCTTCCTCTCTTTTGCGGGTGTGTTAAATTTTTGATGACAATCGCGATTCTTTTCTATAGGTCATCCCACACAGATATAGGTTATGAGTTAGAGGACTGCAGCGGACCTTTTATTTCAGATCATCACATCACCATAAATAAAAGATATAGTATCTGTGTGTGGGGTCATCAAACGATTATTCAAACGAAGCAGAATTGTGCGAATGCTATAGCCACCGCTTGAAATGACCGGCTGTCCGAATTCTGAGGCCGGAAACAACAGTACCATCGATTCCTCAGCTGTACCGTGTCATTTGAGGTCTCTTTCCTCTAATGGGGCTGATTCGGCGCCTATTGTCTAGCTGGAAGCACGTGACCATACAATGCATTTCTGCACTTGGTTGCTTCATACACTCTTAATATATCACCGCCCAGATTCCTTGACGCTTCGTCCATCAAACCGCGGTGTCAGCAGACATTACACAGTTGGATGCGCGCGCGTAGAGAAGGTAATCTAACTAAGCAATCACGATCTGTCTAGCCGATAATTCAACACAGCATCTTAGCATCTGCTACGATGCAATTGTCTTTACCCATTTTGCTGATACTTTAAGTGAGTTAAGCATTAAGCGCTGATAATCAAACACAATCAAACGCACGTCACCCTATGCGCACATGCGTTGTGAATTGTACTCTGATCGTATAATATCTTGTCCTATGTGTATGAAATAGACTGTAATCCTTTGCGCTTTTTTATTTGCATAGCTATCTCACTGGTTATGCATCCATTAGCCACCTAGATACACCAGTCCATTGACAATTTCCCAATTCTCTGTGGTCATTCATCAAAATTTCAACTGCACATTTGTGGGAAGGATTTTATACCACAATGATCATTCGCGTCTGATATGAGACGTGGAATTATGGTGTCTCTGACGTGCCCCACTTGTCGAGGGGGATAGGACATTTTTCTACATACTGTTATGCCATTCCCTGAGTTCACAAACACCCGGGACGGGACGAAATGTATGCTCATTGGCCTGCCTCGTGACGGCGTGCGACGCCGCATACATGCTTTACCGACCGGGTTGTATGTATATACCAATGCATGCGACCCACCTGTGTGTTTGTTTCGTAATCTACATTTTGCCATTAGCAATAATTCATTTGACTCTCGTTCACCTTACTGCCATAGCTACTGTGAATTGCCCTCTCATATAGTGCCATCTTCCTCGCTCCAATCAGAACATGCACTTTTAATTCATTTTCTTTATCAGAACTCGCTTGTCGACTAGTAAACAAGTTCGGAGTTCTGTATCAGGTGTTTCTCCGATTCTGTTAGATATTTCTCTTTTACCAACTCTAAGAGTCCTACAGGTGATTTAAACCTTGCACTGCTCTGTATGTCCGTAACACTAAGCACTAGAATTACGCACAACAAGTCTGCGTGCTCCAAACCGACAGCTGATCTTGTATTGATGTGCCTCGTCTGTGGCCAAAGGCTGTATGTGCATTTTATATCTGGAATGGTCTCTTCTCCAACGGATCATAGCCAAAGCACTGTGGACGTTTGAGCCCGAAGGATATGCAGTTGATATAGGCATTTCAGCGTGCATATTTGAATCATCCAGTTGTTGGGAAAAACGCCAGTTTTCCCAAGAATTACATTGTGAGGTTATCCTTAACCGTAATTTTGCTACTTAACCAGCGCGTGTGCATCCGTTCCCGCCTCAGACCAGGACCATGATTGGCCAAATTCTCAAGGTCGTAAGGAGACCTATTAATCATCACGTGTTTCATTGATGAATTTCTGATTGTTATCAGAATAGATCTCTTTCTGTGGTCTCGTCTTCTACCTTTTTGTGGTTGGGTTTGTCGATTGGAACTCGAATCCATTCGCGAGTTGAATTGAGTGCTTTTTGTGGGCTTGATCGTGCCTCTGTGTGTTCGTAATAAATTGAGCTAGTGGCCGTTGCATCGTAACACCTTTCACTAAACAGTATGACATACTTCGACTTCAAGCTGATAAATGTTCAAACGTCGATGTTCTCCCCACCCGAACATCGGTTTCATCTGTACTGATTAAATTGTCGGTGTCTTACAGTTGCGGTGTGATAACCATCTAACGAATTAAACTTCCACTGCCACGGCACTCCTCAGTGAGAGTGCATATCATATCAACAAAAACTCAATATCTTCCATCTTCATGTGCACATAAACAGTGGTTCGCTTTGTTACGGATATGATTATTACTCTACCTTCCAGTATTATGAATATTGTCAACATTCTCCCTCATTTATACACGGGCTCCACGCGGATGTCTGTCTTCTGGACCAGATAAACGCAACTGCATTACAATAATATTATCTACTCTGGGAGAGTGCAGGACGAGAACATATGTTACTGACTAACCGTCGGTTCAATGTATCTGTTAGTGTCAGATTTTCGAAAACTGCTTTGTGAGTAGTTTGAGCGATGTATGCATTAGATCACAATCATAATTTGATGTACGTCATTTCGTTTAGATAGTCGCCACTGCTCCTACTTCTGTCACTTAAAAAGATTTTAATTCGGCGTCTATTTGCGGTCTTATTGCCGATGTTCACCTTACGAGGTAGTTACAACTTGTTCATATTCTGTGTATGGTTGCAGATTCCATGCTGAAGCTGTTTAACCTTGGTGAATGCTGCCTGAGTAATTTGGACTTATTTTCGTCTTACGTCCTACGGTGGCATTCCGGCGCTAGCAAAAGTTTTTGTTTATATGGCTCAATTTGTGCCATTGAAATGTCGGAAGGTTGGACCGATCAAGCCTCATTGGTTTGACAAGAAGTATGGAAACCTGGCTCGGAGGCGGCGCAGACTGTGGGACAAATTCCTCCTCTCTGGCTCTGCCAATGATTACGAAGGGTATAAATGTCAGCGGAACCTCTGCAACAGTGCAAAAAAGAATAAACGCCCACATTTCGAAGAGCAGCTCGCAGTAGCCACGAAGACCGCCCCAAAGAGAATCTTTGCATACGTGAAGCGACACCTGAAGCCGGCACGTGATGTGCCAGTGCTGGACGGCCCGGGTGGACAACCCCTAACCTCCAGCACAGAGCGTGCGTCCGCGTTGGCGGCGCACTTCTGTATTTGCGAATGACCAGATGTCTGTTCCGAGTTCGACGTGTACCGCTTTTACGGAGCTCGATATTCTGCATTGCGGCGTTGAAGAGGTAGGTCAACTACTCGCCAACCTTGACGGCACCAAACCTGCCGGACCTGATGGGCTTCACCCACTGATTCTCAAGTCACTTTCGACCATCCTCTCTCCTGTCGTGACTGACCTTTTCAATAGGTCGCTGTCCGAAGGTTTGTTGCCGGTTGACTGGAAATGTTCGGTGGTGGAGCGTATTCCGAA